AGTGGCTATCAGCTTTAGAACAAGCCAGGATATTAACCCAAGTTCAAACCATGGTTCCAGATCCTGGTTTCTTCCAAAGCTGATAACCATGGTCTCCAGGTTTGGATGAAAAAGAAAAATGTATGTTAAGTACTTCCCGGTTTAATCACCGCTGACCATGAAGGAGCTGCGTGGATACAGAAAAAGGTTGTTTCTGTCTCAACTTATTAACTGAGATAACAATCATCTGAACCAGATGAGTGTAACTGTGATCAATCTTTCTCTCCTTTCATGTAGCAATTGCTACCCTGCCTTTTCTGAGCCCAGAAAAATGGATGCTAGTGATGATATTCAGTGACACTGTTGATGGCATATGTTCTTCCTTTTGCGGGATCACTTTCTGGGGGTAGTGGGTCTTCCACCCTCATGATTACACACACAACTTTTGATTTTTGGTTGATTTCTTTTGCTCAGGTGCAGCAGTTGGTAGAAAACATTAAACATATTCTAGACCGGCGATTGGAAGAACTAGACTGGATGGATGAAGAAACGAGGCGGGCAGCGAGAGCCAAGGTGAGGAGCTGGGGGAAGGAACGAAAGAAGGGAGCATTCTGTGCCAGGCAGTACACACTTAAGACGGTGCACAGTATGCATCCAGATCATATGATGCATAAGGATAGGCCTCTTATATTTTAAGAAAAACAGCACAAAACTCTCTTTTTCACAATTTCATTTTCTTTCATTCATTCCCGAAATGGAGCTCCTAAAACATCAGTTTTTTGTTCTTTTGTGTTTCCTTCTTTAACGTAGCCTTTGTCTCATGCATTGTCTATCAAATCACCCAGGAAATATTTCATCCCAAGAGTGTTGTGAATGCTTCTGTCAGTAGCCATTTAGAACATCCTGGGGAAGAACAGGAATTTTGAATCTGTAAACAGGCCTGGATTGGTTGGAACCCAGTGAGGAAAGCTGTTCTTGTCCGGGGATTACTCTGCACTTCTGAGTCCCAAGAGTTGCCCCCCCCAGCTAAACAGATGATATGCCCATACTCAGCATGAACTTCCCAGCTGTCTTGAGCCCTTGCTTGTCTTGCAGCTGCAGCACATGATGGTGATGATCGGCTACCCGGATTTCCTGCTCAACTCGGAAGCAATTGACAAGGAATACGAGGCAAGTGTGTGAGGAACAGATCTGGCCCTACTCTTAGGGAGAGTGAGGTAGCGGCCCCAAGCTGCCAATGCTGGCATATGGGGCAGTCCTGAAGGTTAGAACCATCTCTGCTTAGGAACTAAGCGATCCTCCTTGAGTGCCATTTTGCCATTTGTCTGAGGTGATTACAATGCTTTGAACCAGCCACAGCGAAAAGCTTCCTAGCCACAGTTCCCTGAGGGAATCTCCAGGGGCAAAGTGGAACAGCCCAACAAATTAATTGACTAAATCATTTTTAGCTGACTAATCCACCATCTACATTTGACTGATTCATCTAATTAGTGAGTTACATGTAAATAAAGGCAGGTGCAGGGCAAGATACCTGCCAAGCCTTTTCATATTTGGAAAGTTTTAAAATGAGCAATTTATTGCTGCTGCCTTATTGTGCCCTTTTGTTGACGGTTGCTCCTTTTTGTTATTGTTGTTGTTCTTTATGCTGCTGCCTTATTGTGCCCTTTTGTTGACGGTTGCTCCTTTTTATTATTGTTGTTGAGAAGTTTGTTGTTTCCCATCTTCTAAATTGTTGTCATCCTTCTATTATTGAAGGGCATTTATTGTCTTTGAATAATTAATAAAAATAGAAGTTATTTTTATTAATTATACAAAGGCAATAACAATTTTATGCTAAAGCATTTTGTGCTGAGTCAGTTCATCGTTCCAGCTACCACAGTGGTGAGGAAGATTGAGGCTGGGATTCCCCCCCCCCATGGCTGTTTTTGTCATCCTGGCAAAAAAATCAAAATCAAACTGTGTTCCCCTTGTTTCCAGATGTTTTTTTATAAAGGCGGTTTTTAACCTCTAGAAAACCTCTTGGAGCAGCCCGTTGCCCTATACGTAGAACAAGATGTTCTTGCACCATATACAGTAATTTCCTCAAAGCCTTCTCCCCCCCCCACTCCAAAAAATAGGAAATGAACTTCTTTGGATTTTTTTTTCTTGGTTTTTTTGTGGTCTGTGAAGCCCCCAAAATGCCTTAAGAATACAAAAGTGGGCTGTGGATCAATCATCCTCATCAAATATGCAGCTCTGTCTATACACCGTGGCAAGATCCAAAAATGAGATGGAATAGAGTTTAAAAAATGGCAATATTATAAAACCACTATCAAGTGATGAAAATTATAAATAACTTGGAATACTAGAAGCAGATAATATCCTGCACACAAAGGCGAAAGAACTGAAAGAAAGGGAATACAGTGGTGCCTCGCTTAGCGAGGTTAATCCGTTCTGGATTAACCCTCGCTCAGCGAATCCATCGTTAAGTGAAATAAAAAAGCCCATAGGAACGTATTAAAACTGATTTAATACGTTCCTATGGGCTTAAAACTCACCGTTCTGCGAGTTTCCTCCATTGCAACGGCCATTTTGGATGCCTCATTAGCGAGGCAAAACAGCGGCTGCCATTTTGTTTTAGCGGCGGCCATTTTGGAACCGCCGATTGGAACCGCCGATCAGCTGTTCGCTATGCTTTGATCGCGTCCGCGCGATCATCGCATAGCGAAAAAAGCCCATAGGGGCCATCGCTGAGCGAATGCTCCAGCGATGGCCCGGGACCCCTCGTTGTGCGGTTTCATCGCATAGCGAAGCGTTCGCTATGCGAGGCACCACTGTATATCAAAACACTGTAGAAAATCTTAAAATCAAAATTAAAAGGTGGAAATACAATCAAAGCCATAAACACATGTGTAGTTCCAACATTTAGATACCTAGCTGGAATAACAGATTGAGCCCAAAATGAATTAGAAGAACTGGATCAAAAAACACAGAAAATAATGAATGTGCATCATGCACTACATGCAAAACGTTATGTGGACAGAATATATTTGCCACGAAAAATTGGAGGTTGAGGATTACTGCAAATACAGCAGGTAGTAGAGGAGGAAAAAGAAGCCTAAATGATTATATCCATACAATCTGGTAGTAAAAATTGATAATATTTTGAAAACAACAGAAACAAAGGCTCAATATAAGAAACAACCATTTGAAAAGAAATTAAACAGTTGGAAAAATAAAACACTACATGGACAACACCTGATAAATATTGATGGAAAGCATGATCATAATTCAACATGGGCATGGCTAAAACTGGGGACCCTTAAGAAAAAAAAACCGAAGGCTTGACTTTTGCTGCACAAGAACAAGCACTCCAAACCAACGTGATGAAAGCTAAGATTCAAGGAATTAGTGCTCACAACAAATGTCGACTCTGCCGAGAAAAAGAGGAAACTGTATCACACCTCATCTGTGAATGTCCACAGATTGCATAAAGAGATTAAAAAATTAGACATGACCAGTGCACTAACCGCCAACCTAGCAGTTTGAAAGCATGCAAATGCAAGTAGATAAATAGGGACCACTTCGGTGGGGAGGTAACAGCATTCCGTGTCTAAGTCGCACTGGCCATGTGACCAC